TTATGGTAAAAGATGATGGTTAATAATGAATTTTGGAAAGACAACAGATATTTTACTTACCTGCCGAAACTTCAATATTTACTTCACTATTTTAATAATGTAGGTAAATAAGTACATATACATAATATATGTATATTTTAATTTTTTCATTTACTTCTATACACACGAACATATCTATGCGAATTTCCACTTGTTTTCATTTGCATCTCTCAATTACATCGGTCTACTTTTTGTTCATCGACTGTATTAGGATATACAATGAGGGAGGTATTGTTATTGCATCAAATTTCACATGCTGAATTTATTTCTCTGATTAAAAGAAATGCAAACATCTTATGTTTCAATCTAAATGTTGATATGGTTTGCCTGTGCATTTTCAAGTGCATTCTCACTTTTCCTCTTATGGTTTATGAACTTCCAAAAAACTTTGGGATTACGTATTAAGTTATCCGAAGTTTTATAGATATAGTAGTCGTAACGTTCTTTTGCTGCTAATTTAAATTGATCATACGACAATCGGAAATTATCATAGTCCCTGTCGCCTTTAGTGGAGAGAGATTTGCGCCACAGCTTATTCTTTTTGTTGCGCAGTACCCTCAACTCTTGTGAAAACCATGGAGAGTCGGAGCCAGTACCTTTAGTTTTCAACACTGGAATAAACAATTCAAATGCAGCAAGAATGATTTCGTAAAACTTACCCGTCATAGACTCAATATCAGTAAAGTTAAATACTGAAGGAAAGTCGTAAGTAGAAAAGAGATCATTTAGCAATGCGAAATTCGCCCTTTATTTATTATGTATTTTGATTTCGGCTGGACCGATTTTAATGAGAATTTACATATGAGTTTACTTTTTCTAACCAAAGTTTCTGTTGCACCAAATGTCAAAATGTTTTAATAACAAAAAAGTGCTTTTTTATTAAGTTCACTGCCAAAAAATTATAGGTACAAGAAGACCATTACCCAAGTCTTAGTTAATTTCAAATTTTTATAAATATTTTTCAAAAGAGTCATGAGCAGTCATTTGTTATCTATAAATTTACTTTAATTTTATTACCGCTTTTATAGGTTAATGAAAAAAGAATTGCCAGAACTTGTAAATGTAGTGCTTTAAAAATATACAGTTCAGTGTGAGTTGACTATTTGCTGACCACATCGGACATCTTTTCTTTTGTATGACCTTACATAATAAAAATTAAAAAAAAAATTTTACCATAAAAATAACCTTTAAATATTGCAATTAAATTTTTTTTAGCTGTATATTTTAAAGGAATTTTAGGATTTTTACCCTAATTAGAAAATTAAAAACAGGAAATATTATTATTGTGACATATATCACAAAAAATTTACATACATACCTGCATATGTTTGTCACACATGCATTATTACTTTATTCGCATTTCTCATTTAAAATATAAAAATTTTTTTAAAAATTTCCAAAAAACTTGACTTAAATCTAATGAACAAAATTCGAAATAATAATGAAAATGAAAAAAAAAACAAAAAGTAATTTGAAAGTTCAATTAGTATTGTTAACTGGTTTGATTTCTCTTTTAATTAACTATCGATTTATAGTAGATTAATAGTTATTTTTTTTTTAACTAAAAATTTTGAAAAAAGTAATTATTGGAAGGGCAAAAATTTTTATACTAAAATTTAATGAATAACGAAAAAAAAAACCAAGAAAAGATCAAACAAGGCAAGGTTACAACTAATACTTGCCAGCCAAATAATGAAGATCCAAAAAAAAACAAAAAAAAAACTTATTTCAATAATTTTTAAAACACTCTAGTTGCTCGCCGGTTAACAAATAATAAAGTGATGCCGTGAAGTTCATTTCGAATAATTTTTTTTTTAGTAAAATTTTTTTTTTCATAAAATTTTATTTGTTTTCTTAAGTCATTTTGAATTTTTTTTTTTTTTCTGTTAACTTTTGGAAGTTTAGTGCTGAGAATAGTAAGATTTTTATTAATTATAATTTTAGTTTAGATTTAACACTATATTATATACGATTTTGTGTACAATTACCATTGAAATTTTTTTGAATCTTTATAGAACTTTAACAATATTATAAGCTATTGATGGTGTTAAACTATCCGATGGTGTTATTTTTATTTAACCAATACAAATATTAATGTTAAATTACTATAAAAAATTTTTGGTTTTTTTGTGAAGTCTTCTTCTGAAAATTTTCAATTTTAAGAAATTTTAAAAGTTTTTAAATTTTTTTTTTAAGTATAACAGCTATTTTTGTTTTTTTAAATAAATATTTGCAAAATGTGTACATGTATTATGATTTAAGTTATACATACAGGCTTTGATCATATACAGTTTTTGTTTTTTTTTTGATTTTTTTCCTATTTTATTTGCAAAGTGTAAATTTACAAAAAAAAAAACAAAAAAAAATTAAATTAAAATCATCAAGTTGAATTTTTTTTAAAATATTTATTAAATAACACCTTCATGCGAGGTGAGGTCATTGATTGAACAAAAATAAAGCTAGAAATTTGAAAAATAAAAAACAAAAAAACTATTTTTTAGGCCGGAAATAATAAAATCACAACTATATATGATTTATTTTGGGTGCGTAATGTTTGCAAAACATATAAATTTTACATTGACAAACATAGATAAAGAAACGTAAATTAAATTGTAGAATTAAAAACAAAAATTCTTTAATGATTTTTGAAAAAATTTCTTATACAATGGTCATTCCCGGATAAATGAGTAGTCTGATTTTGCTTTAAAATTTTGAAGAAATTGTTCAGCTTAAGTGCAAGTTCAGCTTAACAAAACATTAAAAAAAAATTAAATAATTTCTTAATCTTACAAAATATGGATCATTCGATAAATTGAATTTTCCGATATGCATATTTCAAAATATAAGGCTTCAAAACATGAAAATTTTTCAAAAAATTTAAACTACTTTTGATTTTTCTTTGCAATTTTCCAAGAAAATAATTTTATTTTTTTTGATAATAGAAAGAAATTCAATTAAAATGATTCACAATACGAAAAATTTAAATTAAGAAACCATCTACATAACGTGTGCTTCGAAATTGAAAGTAAATTAAATTTCTTGAAGAAAAAAAAATAACAATTTAAAAAATTTTTGTTTATTTTATCATTTATCTTGGAAGTTTAAGCTAAGAAAATTGAAACATAAAAAATTATTTAGGCATAATGCATTTATTCGGAAATTGCTGTATAGAGAATTTATGAAGAAAACATCAAATCGATTAAACATTGAAATATAAAACAGATTCTCCTATATAAGTGAATTTAAATTCATAATTCAAAAACCTATAATAAGGTGAAAAATCTAATAAGAAAAAAATTATGATTTGACTGTTCTTCTACATTTAATTTTATGATTAGAAAAGAAAAAAAATTCTGAATAATATGCTAGAAATTTACATATTTCATAGCCAACTAGAAATTTAATCTTGTCATCAGTATATCTGTATACCAATCCTAAACACCATTAAATTCAAATTTATCTTCATTTTATAAAATTTTTGGCATATTTAAATACTTTTCTGTATTTTATCATGATTTTGAAATACTTTTTCACTATTGTATATTTATGTGGTTACAGCTACACATTTATATTATATAATACATACTTTTATGTATTTATGTCTTACTAAAATATATCTTCCTTAATTTTATTACAAAACATGCTGTAAAACTAATACAGTACCATTTATGCGTCGCCAAATATCAAATAGTATATAGGTACTATCAAAAGATATGTCATACTCACGTCACCTACATAACAGTTATTATTATTTACTTGTTAACGCGCTCATTTTCCTATATACAAAGACATACAACAAAATATTTCTTAAAAAACAAAAATAAATTAAAACTCATCTCAAAAAATAATTGAAAAATTGTGTTATGTCAGTATAGATACGCGCATTACAAGAAGTTCATTTTAATCCCAAAACTTAAAAAAATTATAAATAGTGTCGCGACATTGCTAAAGAGGAAAAAAATTTGTGTATATAAGTAGGTAGATAATATATACAAAATTACTATTATATTTCACAATACATACTAAAATAATAGTAACCATAATAATATCTACTTTATTTAGGTTATTTTCCGGTGTCTACAATAAAATTAATAATAATTAGAATTATAATTTTTAAAATTCCCACGATAAATGTCATACGTATGAACATTGTACATATACATATATACTTATTGCTGATGATCATGATAATGATGTTAATTTTGTCCAAAAATTATAAGGTTTAAATGTATAGTATGTAAGCAGATAGGCATAAGTGCAGATTTGAGAAGGAAATGTCTACACTTAATTTGTTACGAAAATTTATAATAAAAATGTTACTTTAATGTATATAAGATGAAATTTATTAAATTTTGTTATATAATGCATTTAACACGTACATTATTTTAATATGTGTATAGTCTTTGAATTATACATGCATAAATGTTTAAAAGCATAATTTAATAGTAGTTTAGGAAAAGGAGGATGTGGTCCATCTTCTGTGCTCAAGCTTTGGCACGAAGGCGGAGATTCCTTGGATCACATTTCGCTTTAATCGATTTATAAAGAACTCGGAATAGTTCATGTGAGGTTAGGGATGTGAAGATCCCGTGGCAACATAACGGACCTAATTGGTTTAAGTGTATCCTCTGACAGCTGCGTCAACCTAAACCTTAATAATAAAATTTTTTAAATTTATTTTTTATTGATTTATTCAAAAATTTATTTTGTATTAAAAATAATTTAATATAAATTTTTTAATTTTTCTTTTCCAGAACTTCTTTTAAATGGAACTAGGAAACTTTTGACAAATTGAATAAAATTTTTAATTATAGTAGAAACTTAATTATCACTGCCGAATTTTAATTAACAGAAAGGATAGGAAGAAAACTTTCATTTTGAAATCTTCTAGAGCTTTTTTGAGTTTTCACAAAACAATTTGAATTATAAAAACAAAATTTGTATACACATACACATATAATATAGATCTTAAGTTTAAATTATAAAAAAAACAAATATGGATATTATTGAAAATAATTCTTCAGATTTATTAGCAAATAAATCAGATAGTACATGGGATTATTTATTTGTTGAATTAGCAGGTAATAAAATTTCTATATATATTATTAAATTTTATAAATATTAATTTATAATTATTAATTTAGATCCTAGAACAAATGATTGGCCATTAATTAGATCACCAGTTCCAACATTTATAATATTATGTGCATATTGGTATTTTGTGTTATATTGGGGTCCAAGATATATGAAAGATAGAAAACCATTTAATTTGGAAAGAGTTTTAATTGCATATAATTTTGTACAAGTTCTTGTCAGTATATGGTTAGTTCATGAAGTAAGTATACCTTAATTATGAAATAATTAAATAATTATATAATTTATTAAAATTTGTGTTATAAAGGGTTTAGATGCTGCTTGGTTTAGACATTATAATTGGAGATGCCAAAATGTTGATAGATCATGGACACCACAAGCTTTCAGAGTAAGTTTTTCTTCCTATTGTGATTTTGTATGTATTTTATTGAATATTGTATTTCTGTGGTTAAAATTAAAATCTGAATAATTTAAGATGAGTTGCTTCTAATTTTATTTAAAACTCAATTAGCGACTTCGTGTAGATTAACCTAACTCCGTGTAGGTTAGGTACTAAAAGTAATCTACATTACAGATACAAAAATTAATTCCGAAAATGTTGATTAAAATACAGAAAGATGTTATTATTTTTTTTAAGAATTAAATAAGAATTTGAAGCTTAATTTGCTTAAAATTCCTTTTTTTAATTTCTTTAGTAAAGTATAAACTGTCTTTTATAATCAGATGTTTTTCACTTTTTTTAACCCTATGAGGAATATTTGACTATTTCATGAAATTATAGTAGACATGCCTCATTTTAATATAATATAGTTATTAAAATTATACAAAAATTATTTAATTTTTTTTCAATTAAAAACATATATAATTTAAAAATTTTTTTTTGTGCATAATTTATAGGAAGCACGAGGTGTATATGTTTACTATTTGGCAAAAATATCAGAATTATTAGATACAGTTTTCTTTATATTAAGAAAACGTGATCGTCAAGTAACATTCTTACATGTATATCATCATAGTGTTATGCCAATGATCTCATGGGGTACAACAAAATATTATCCAGGTGGACATGGTACATTTATTGGTACATTAAATTCATTTGTTCATATTATTATGTACTCATATTATTTGTTATCTGCAATGGGACCATGGATTCAACCATATTTATGGTGGAAAAAACATATCACTAATTTACAATTGGTAAGTAATTTTACAATCAATACAAAATTTATAAATTTCAACTATAATTTAAATTAATTTTCTACTCATAATTACAATTTGCTCTTAAAAGAGACTTAGTCTTTGTTGGTGAATTAATATATGGTTGAGTATAACTGAGCTCCGGCATTTTATAAAAGAAAATTAAATATAATTTTCAAGTTGAAATTTTGAAATTTCAAAACTAATTTATTGTAAAAGAAATTATGTTATGTATATACACCATGTATGTGTGATAGATTTGGAATTCAATGGTATATTGAGAAATAATCAAAATTTTTAAAAATTATTTGAAGTTTTCAATTAAATTTTCTCATTTATTTTAAAAATTAGTGAAAATTCTTATTAAATTTTTGTACGATAGTCTTATATGTATTGTAAAAATTAATAAATTTTTACTTAAACATACTTAAGTTAATATTTTCCATGGTAACCATCACACACTCTATTAACAATTTTAACCTTGTTTTTTTTTTTTAATTTTTTTTTAATTTTTCCCCTCAAAATCTAATTAATTTGTATTGATTAAAATTTTAAATATTTTTAATTTGTATTCATCAATATTTATTAATATTTAAATTTATTTTATATTTTTATTTCTTTTAATATTCTCATTGGAAAAAAAAAATAAAAAAAAATATAGATTCAATTCTGTATGGCCTTCTGTCATTCATCACAATTATTATGGGAAGATTGCGGTTATCCAAGATGGTCAGTTATATTTACATTACCAAATGCAATATTCTTTTATTATTTATTTAATGATTTCTATACAAAAGCCTATAAATCATCTCAAAAAGCTAAAGCTGATGCTGCCGCTAAAGCAGCACAAGCAGCAGCTGAAATTACAAATAATAATAATAATGATAATAATAATAATAATGAAAATGATAATAATAATAACAGTAAAACGAAAAATCAAAATGAAATTAAAAAAGAACTGTAAATATATTTGAAAAAAAAAAAACAAAAAAAATAATAAAATAAAATTAAAGAAGAAAAATTAAGATTTTTTTTTTTTATTTTTAAATTAAAATTTCCTTTTTTTTTCTAAGTTGTTGCAAAATGAATTTTTACTTTGAAATGATGCAATCATTTTTTTTATTTGTTTACTGTTATAACTGTGTGTGTATAGGAAGAGAACAAATTATTATCATTAAAATAAAGAAAAAAAGAATTAAATCGAAATTTTTTTTTTGTTAAGAAAACAAGATGAAATTATTTAAATAAATTTCTAGTTTATAGGTGAATATTTAAAAAACAAAAATCTAAATTATAGTGATAAGAATATTTAAAAAATGAAGAATATATAGGAAAAATTCGAAAAAAAAAAAAAAAAACAAAAACAAAAACGATACAAAAAATCAAAAATCGAATCGAGTTTCATGAAATTATAATCGAAAAAGAAAAATTAATATCACTTATGTATGTTTGTTTGATTGTTACATAATAGATTCAAAATAAATTCAAAATATTCAAAAAAAATAATTTTAATAACCTGTATTAAAAAAGTTGAAGATTTAAATCAGAAAAAAAAAATGAAAAAAAAAAATAATAACGATTTTTGTTTAGAAACAAAAATTTTTTTTTGTAAGAAATTAAGTAATTCCGGTTTGTTTCATCCCCCCACTGTCCCCCTGCCCCATCGAATACTAAATATACGGATATAATATTTTAAATAGTTCTACATTTTTAACTTTAATTTTATATTGTGTACACACACATCAGAAAATACATGTTTTTTTTAGAAAATATAGTTATACACATACAAACACAAACATGCATACAAAGACATTGTAAAAATATTAATTTAATTATTAAAATTTATATAAAAATATTTTACAAGGTTAATAATTTGAATTTTGAATTTTTGATTCAAAAAATGTTATTGAAGTACAATATGAGGAAAGGTCTTTCATAAGAAAAAAAAGAGGAAAAAAAGAGCAAAACAGCAAAAGATTTTTGTCATTATTTTTTTTTTCTTTGATTTTGTTACTAACTTGGTTAACACATTAATTTGAAAATAGTATTTTCTTTTTGAATAAAAATTCATTTAATAAAATAATTAATGCTGAAGGAGAAACAAAAATAAATTTAAAATTTTTCAAATTAAAAAATAAAATAATGATGAATTCAAAAAATTTTAATTGATTTGGACACATTTACTTTAAAATATTTTTTATTTGATATTTTTTAATTGTTAATTAAAAAATTTTTCTTAAATTTTACTTAATTAATAGTCCAAAATCATAATAAAGGCGAGGAAAATATAAAATTTTAATATAAATTTTAAATTTTAAATTTCTTTTTTATTGTAAACAATAAATTGTTCAATAATATCAACGTGTATGTAAATATAATTAATATTGAATTGCATACTTTTAGGGATTCAATAATTTTCCCTTAATATTTGCTACCCAATATTGTTGTTTTTTTTTGTAATTTTAGCTTCAAAATATTCCATTTTATTAAAATTTTAATATTAATCTATTTTTTTTATTAAATTATGTTTGGTTTTTTTACAGTTTTAGTTATATAGCTATTTTGTTTTTATTATAGAATTTAATATTAAATAATAGATTAATATTTAATTAAGCTAAAAATATTTTTAATATTTGAATTTCAAAAATCCGTATTGGATTAAAAAATTTAATAATTTGTTTTGGTTTTTTTTTATTTTGTTTGGCTTTTTTGTAAGGTATTCAATCAATATCGTGTTTTAAAATATTGCAATCGTAATACCAATTAATGATATCAATTAGTTTTTTGATATACTATACAAATAATTAGTTTTTTGATATTGGATTACAATTCAATCCAATTCAATGATTAATTACATAAATGCGTATATTTTAATATTATTGAACAAATTTGGAAAGATTATAAATAAAATGAAATTAATAAACGAATTTAAGAATAATAATAACAATAATATTGTACACTTATCGTTTCTGCAATGAATATTTATAGTTGCAAAAAAATAATTTGTAATTTTTTTGTGTTAACCGTGCATAAATTCAATTTGTTATAGAATGAGTTTTTAAACAAATTAAAAAAATGCTCATAGGGATAGAAAAGGTTTTTCAAATTTTTAGTGCAAATTTGATAAGAATGTGTTTCAATTCTTATACAAAGTTCATTTTAGAAATTTAAAGAAAAGTAAAATAAATTAACAATTAATTAAAATAAATTTAATCTTCTAAACTGCCAAATTCTAAAATTCAATAAAATTTACATTATGACTGAAATTTATTTGTCAAATCAAAATGTTAAATTAAAAAATTACTCAAAAAATATGCAAAAAAAAAAAATGAAAAATCTTTTTGAATTGAAGAAAAATTCGCGAAATAGTTTAATGTAATGTGTCTTAATAAAATAGAATTTGAAGTCAATTAATAAACTATACATACTAACAGATAATATAAATATAAATATACAATATACAATTTTTATTTTTCATACAAAATATTTAAAATATTGTAAAAACTATAACAAAAATAATGTACTCAATGTAAATTTTTAATATTTTTAATAAATAAAATATTATGATTTGTTTTGTAACATTTTCAATTGATTAAATTATTTGTAATACTCGTATAACAAAATTCTGATTAAAAATAAATTGTTACAATAAAAATTTTATGATTTATTAATTTAATTACAATATTATTGAAAATTTATTTTATAAATATAAAATTGGAATTTGAAAAAATAATTTGAAATTGTACAAATATTTAAGAAATGCTGCATTAATAAAAATAAGAAAATTAAATAATGCTAATATTTAAGTATTGTACACATCTCATTATTATTGTAATATCAAAAGAGATCATTCCTAAATTCCATAATTTGACAAAATAATGAACACATACAGCGGCGATAATCAAAAATACGTAATAGAAATTATTACTGTACCGAGAAAAATATTCTATGGCGATTCTATGTAAGATAAGTGACAAATTATTATAAAATTCGAGCTTAAAATGAGTTAATTCAAATATTCAAATTAAAATACATAAATTATATATTGAAATAAATAATTAAATTAATATTACTAATCTATATGTAAAATTTTATATGAGTGAGATTAAGAAATTTAATAAATATTAACAAGTAATTAAATAAAATATTAAAATAAAATATGTAAGAAAAAAATTAATTTTTGTATGAACTATTTTAATTTTTAGTATTAAATATAATTAAATTCAATTGAATTACAAACATATTATAAATTAAACATATTGTATAAAACGCCATAAGTCAAATTTATTCAATTTAAAAAAAAAAAAACTCGATTTTTGTATTTTGTTTTAAGTATTATAAATATGTGCTCTTATAGCCTAACAAATCAAAATTCAATTATTTTGGAGCCTATTAATTGTTAAATCAGCCTAAAAAATTTAAATATTCTTAGTGAAAATTTTTATTTACAATTTCTTGCTACTTAATATTATCATTTTAATGAAAATCAAAGAACACAATAATTAATAACGAAATAAACGAAGAAAATTATTATATTTTATTTAATTAAATTTTAAATAATATCATCGTATAGAGACAGGCCAAATATATTTTGTAAAAATTCAATAGAAAACTTAAAAACAATAATTTTCATAAGTCAATTATAATTTTAATGTGCAAATTTTATTGTTTTTTAATAAATATGTTCAGAAAATTATAGAAAATTTAAATGGTTAAAATTAAAAAAAAAAATTTAAAAAAGATTTGCACATGACCATTTTTGTTTTAATTTTTCTTAAAATCAATTTCTTGCCTTTAAAATACTTACATACATAGAATTTAAGTTTAAAATATGAACGAAAAAAAAATTTATGAATTAAATAAATTTTTAAAAATCTTATTATTATTATTATTGTTTTTAGGAATTATTTTAATTTAATATATATACTTATTTTGTAAGACAAAATTTATATATATATATATACATATATGTATAGAAAGGAGAAATGTAGTAAAATATAACTTAAATTAAGTAAAAATAAAAAAAATAAAAAACTATACAAAAATACTGAGAAGAAAATTTTTTTAAAATGTAGAGAAACAAAAAAAAAAATTATTATTTTAATGTTAATAATTTTTAATCTGTCGTAATTTTTATGAAAACAAGAACAACAACAACAAAAAAAAACACAAACCTATAATTTTAATAATGTATTTTTATTATTATTTTTTTTTATATATATATATATAATGTAATAGGGAGAACAAAGAAATACAAGATTAATAAGAAACGTAATTTAAAACCAAATGTTTTTTTTTCATTATTTTTTTATATTACCGTAAAATTTTTATAATCCACTACAAATAATCACTGTCCTCAATCCTCCTCGGACCTATCAACAACACCCAAACATTATACTATCAACAAAAAAATTATTAATACTATAAAAATACTATCAATAAAAAAAACGTGTTACTTTTCAAGTAAGAGTCTGATATCATTCCAAATCTTTGTGAAAATTACGTGAATTTTTTAATACAGGTTTTAAAAATCATTGAAAGGCAAAGATAGACGGACTAAAACTTTGTGTTCACATTTCCATAAAAGAAATCCGGAAAATACTGTCTCTTATCACCTTAAATCGAGAGGTCTCTTTCGCTTCAGTCAATTTGTACTAAACCTCTCTCCTATAAGTCTGGAAGTCTCGATATTCACATTCTGTTCCAAACGTGCCCTATGTTTCGCAGTTACTTATTACCTCTATTATATACCAGAGAGCACCGACCATATTACGAAGGCTCTTGTTCTGGAAAATTTGTATTATACACAAGATTGAAAATTAATATAATAGATCTTTGACGGCAAAAGAAATAACGAAAAAATTCGTATTGTATGTGCTTTTTCAAAAAAAAAAAAATCCCTCTATGTTTATTGTACCGTTTAAATATTTAAAATCTGAAACGCACATTTATACA